TGAATAACCTGCCTATTTGAGAGCTGGCCCACAGTGTTTTCAATTGAATGTATTTATTCATTTAAATCAACAGTTAAATTAATGCAGCAATTCTACAACGTATCAAATTGAAACCATTCTGATGTCAGTTGTTCATGTTTCCCACTCGCTGCAGATTTAGTCTTAGTCAAACTCATTTCAGGGTAGGGTTTATCTTTTACTAATCTGAAACTCAAAACACATAAAATATAATATATATATATAAAAAAAAGTATCTTATTTTCAACTGCTTTGTTACATTTCTCTTCAAATGAACAGCTGCTAAGCTTCTTCATGAAACTGCTTGCTCCTGCTACCATCTGGTGGTTATTTTATAAATCTGCAATTTGCAGAAGTTTCTCTAACGCCTTAAAACATGAAATACATTATATTTAGCTGTTGATATTGGGGAATAACGCCACCATGTTGACAAAAGGTTTTATTCAGGAATGTTGTTAAGAAAAGTGTCTTATCAAGCACTGCAGCCTGCTCTTTAACCACAAGATGGGAGCAAAGCTGTTAGATCTTTTTTATAATCACTGGGCATTGTTGTGCTCCCGGATTGCAAAGTTGAATGGCAAAACAGTTGCAACAAACGAGAAAATAGACTGATAAAAAGGAGAAATGTACAACTTGGAATGAATAAAAATAAGTTAGTCTTTTCCTTTTGCAAGATGGTTATCCAGGTCAGAAATTGTGAGAAAAGATCAACCTTATAACAACATATGTGTCATATTTGATAAATAGAGTTTCTGAAATCTTTTGCATCTGTGGCGTTTTGTATCATTTAATGGTAAAATCTTTACATATAAAACCCTGTTTTACATTATCAGAGTTACCTGATGGCAGCATGCAAAAAATACACAATCATTTGGACCTATCTCACAGTAATAAATGATTAATATTAAAAAGCGATTTCTGTCCTTTAAAATACTTTGTCCAAGTACCAAATAAAGACTTCAGAATAAAATAAAATAACTCTGTCTCTTTTTTTCTTGTATCGGGCTTTAAAGGGTTAAGACGGTGTGCCAACTCCTGCTTGCTCAAAATTCCTCCTGAGCATCAGTCTATTGTTAGAAAATCCTAATTTTATAACTGCATATGTTGACTTTGTACATTATAAATGTGCAGATATTTCGCACTTATAAAAAGTTCTATAACCACTTTAATAATATTACAAAGAATGACCTTTTCTAATCTCAATAAAATCTCTGTGTGATGGCATTGCAGCATTAGTCCTTTTGCAAAGTTCTCTGGCCCTCTTTTTCTCTCCTTGGTGTAAAAACTGGTTTCATTTTGGAGCCTTTAACATGTTGACAGCCGATGTTCTGGCAACACTTTGGAGGTTCTCATGCCTGCTGCCATTTAATGGCAAAACTAATTTGCTTCACGTATAAGCGCTTCATAATGCTTCAGGTCCTCATTTCAAGCTTCAAAACTAGATCTTAATCCTCAAACAGTCCATTTATGGTCCAGCCAAAGCGAGCGCAGGGCAGCCAAAATTATCTCACTTTGCAAACATTTCCTCACCGTCCACCTCCACCCACCTAAAACTCTGACTGGTCCTCATAAAGAAAGACATGCAGGAGGGCATAAACTTTACAACACACTGAGAGCAGGCTTACATGCATCTGGGCTCCACTGTGTGTGTAATCTGCATATTTATGCCTTACACAATGCTGACACAATGTCTTACACGCACACAAGCACACACACATTGCTCTCTCTGTTTCCCTGTAACATGCTGTTTCAGTCCTGAACATAACATGCAAGCTGACCGTTAATGTTTATCTTGATATCTTACACCATCGTCAAATGTCTGAGGCTGTGTGTAATGACCACCCCCCCCCTCCTTCATCCACATATAAACACAATAACCCCCCCTCTCGTGAGTCTCACGGGAGCTCTGCCACACATTCTTTAGTGCACAGTTCATCCAAGCGGTGATTCAGAGCGGTTCATGGCCAAATAAGACAAAAAAGCGTTTTTGCTGTACACAGACACGTCTGCCTGGGGATTTATGGAGAGAAACCCATTGGGGTGTAGTTTCACATCAGCATTACAAAGTGCTTTTATTGGTGTAACATCATCTATAATCCCTTATTCTAGGCCAGTGTTGTCAAAAGGAACAACTCAACTAGAATGGGAACTCAAATGTTAACTTATTTTAACTTGCATGATTTGATTTAAAGGTTGGAAAATTCGGACAGGCCAAACATTTCTGGACTGTTGTGAATTGAACACAGCTTGGACTTTCTTATCCTGCTGGTAAAACTTACTGGGACAGGTCCAATTTAAGTTAGAACTGGACTTGTTTTTCTTTGCATAGGACTATATGTGGCCTTTGTGGGATTTGTCTTTTTTGCCTTACAATGGGCCTGACTTTTGGAGCAGCCTGTCTCTAATTTAGGACTTGATTATCTTTCTTTAAGACCGGTTTCATCTGACTTTGAGCTCGGCCTAGACTTAACTTGGATTGGTTATCCTTACTTTCTGTGTTCAAAGTAATGTTTTATAAAGAAGACTTGTACATCTCACCTGTTGAATTGTGTCTTTATGTTCAGTTAAAGACCTGATTTGCTCTGATTCTACATTTCTTGGTCTTAGTATTCATCTGATCTGGATTAGGGTGATCTCATAAATCCATCTGGATCTAATTTAGAATAATGTATTGCAAAATGTAAAGGATAAATCTGTCTTTGAACAGCTTTAAAATGGCTGTGTCTGCTGTACTTATTTTTCTTTGCTGACCTGGCCAGCAACTCAGTCTTAAAGCATTTACAGCATATAAAAATGCCAAAACATTAATAGCTTTTGGAAATGGAACTTATCTCGAAAAAAGAGTCAAAATATTTTAGATACAAGACATTTATTTAGTGCCTTAATGAATAAGTCACCACTGATTCCGTCAGGCTGATGCTGTGGAATCATCTTCCTGTTGTGCATCAATGGTATTTTGAGTAAAGATAACTGGAAGCACAAAAACGATCACTCTTTCGAAGTAAAGCCAGAGTATGTCCAGTTATATTTTTAATCACATTTAGGAGCCCAAACAAATGTGAACGAACGCCAACAGGTCTCTGAAGGCAGCATTTTGATGAATGCTGAGGTTTAAGTCTTTGATTTATTGTTTTCACAGCACTGAGAGTTCTCCATACTGGAAATTATTAACTTAAAACAACTTTTCTTTGGTGTCTCAACATGAGCGCTGTTTGTCACATCACAATAATGATTGTTTTGTTGCACAAGAAACAAAACCAGTTTCCTAGATCTGGATCATCAGTCTGCACTTAAATAATAACAGGAAGTAGAAGGATTCTGTTTGTTTTCTGAAACTTAAATCACTTTATTAAGAAAACCTAATGATATATTATGTGTAATTAACTAGATGAACAATATGTCGTTTACTGCCAGCTAAAAAATCATCTAAAAAAGTGTTTTTCCTTTCGGAATATTGATTTTATTGAAAATTATGACTGTCAACATTTAAGCAAACATTTACCTCAGATAAAAATGCGTTTAGTTTTTGTAAAAATGAGGCCTTGAACTGAATGTTAGGGCTCTGTGTCGGCTGTATATAGGCTCCAAAAAGTAAAATTTCTAACTGGACAAAACGTAACACGTCTGAGTGCCTTTAATTTCAAAGGGCCAAACCGGATGTCGCCTGGTTAGTTTTCCCCTAACGTTAGCCTGACTTTAGCTTGTTTAGACAAGCCTGCTCTGACACCCTTCCATACTCAAAACAGCCGGGGCCTCTCCCCTGTCTTGTTCCGTGATTCTGCCACTGTAATCGGCCCAAAACGGGGGGACGAGACGCCTCACTGTATCGGACTTGCACCAGAGAGTCCTCCGCCGGCTCCGCTTTCAGTACAAACCAGGAAACTGTTTAATTTTAATCTTACATGACGACTTGTTCAGGCGGCGGTTGCGGGGGAGAGCTCCTGTTTTGAGAACAGCTTTTTTTTATTGGGGGGGGGCTTGTTTAAAGTGACGCTGTCGGCGGAATTGAAGCCACGGGGCGCCTCGTTACCGGACTCCAACGGGCAGCATCTTCTTCTTCATTTTCTTCTCCTCCTCCGTATTCTTCTTCTTCGGTGGTGTTTTCTCCGGTGAGGACGCGGAGGTCTCCGGCAGTCATGGCTGGAGGTCGGACGGCTGTCGGGCTGCTCGTCCTGGTTTGTTTCAACTTCCACCTCTGCGCCTCCTTCAACCTGGATGTGGACAAACCATCCGTGTTTTCCGGACCCCAGGGGAGCTACTTCGGCTTCTCCGTGGACTTCTTTAAATCCTCCAGCAACCTAAAGTAAGATTTGATGAGAATTTCCAGTGATTATGATGGTAATTCTCAGGATGTTGTGATAATAGCTTTTTATAGTTAACGTCTCGTTGTGTCGTTGCTTTTCCATGTATTCAACCACAATTAACGGTGGTATGTTTTCTTATGACAGCTTTAAGAAGCTTCAATATTAAATTGTATAATTCAAAGTAAAAAAAAATAAACCTAAACCTTCAGTTTCTCTTTTAAAAAATCACAGATATTAGTTTTTTTTTTACATTTAACTTAGGTTGTTAGGTTAGGTTAGACAACAAAAGGTGCAAAAGTCTTTTTTTTTCTTTTTTCTAGCACTGTGAGACTAATCTGGAGCTACAAAAGTACAATTATGCAGTTACAGACTGTTAATCTGACCTGTAAAAGGGATTAATTTATTTTATTTACTTACTTACTCTTTTCAAACTCTCTTCCAATATTTAACAAAAGAAAGGGAGGTGACAAGCTTCATCTCACAGGGTCAATGTGTCACATGATGTCTAGCCCCTTTTGGAAAATATTTTAACCCAAATTAGAGGCTGAGTCATGAAAACTGGTGACAGTTGTTCTGATGAGACCAGCATCAGTAGCAAAATATCAGATGGTGGAAATGATAGCATTTCTTTGATCAGATCAGGGATGGATGTTATGTTATAAATCTCTGAGCCAGTCATCACCCCGCTTTCTGACAGGAGCATAACGAGCCACAGAAGCTGCCGGTTGTCAGTAAATAATCCGGAAAAATGGTGGCCTGGACTGGGTCCTCCAAAGCAGATGCGTCGATAGCTTGATTTGCTGTTTCCCTGTTGTTGTCTGTAGTCTAATTCCACTCACTGTGATCCCTGACAGCCCCATCAATCAATACAACCGCCTCCGTCCAAATGAATCTGCGTCCCGTAGGCCTGTGGCCTGGTGGAGCCAAAACAGTTATTTTTCCTCTCTCTCTTGCGCATTGTAATCCGCTGAACGGCTGGCTCAAAAATAAATCTGCAATTAAACCAAGCTGCTCTGAACAAAGGGTTTCTGTTTCTGAATGTGGACGGAGAGTCTTTCGCTACGTCTTGTGCAGCCAAACTCCATTTTCTACCTCTGATCTGCCCCTTGTTTTCACAGCACAACCGAACATCACCACAGATAACACACAAACTCTTGATTGGACTTTTTAATTAGCTGTAAAAGACCTGCCATTACATCTCACGTCTCATCAATTCGATTGTTTTAAACGTTGGCGTTCGTGTAATTCTAGATTGTGTTTTCCAGCTCTCGGAGTACAGAATCTGCTCTGGTATTCCATCAGGGTTATATGTGGTGAATTCAGCCACAAGAGCTTTTGGATTTTCACCCAGAGTGGAAACTAAAGCTGTATTTCCACCACAAAAAACACCCACTAGGGACTAGGGAGTCATTTGAGGAGCTGTGTTCATCTTCGTTTCCACCAGAGGAGCCTCCTAAATGAATGCCTGAGGAGATAGATTCCTCCACAGGAAGCGCAGAAAGTTTCTGAAATTGATGGAATTTAAGTTTGTTTTGGCTTCCTGCTCGTGGTATCAATGTGGGAAAGCGGAGAGGCCGTTGGTATCTTGTTTGCTCTCTCACACAAAAACAGGACCAAGCTTTCCAAGCACTGACCGCCCGTTTCTGTTTGTTTGGAGCTCGTAGACGGTCCAGGCATCGGACGTCAGAATGGTTCTTTTGGATCAGCCGAGTCTGATAGAAATCAGCTCTGGGATAGAAATCAACTCTCTCTGGGTGCTTCGTCACTGTGTTTAAGCCAGTGTTTTTCAACCACTGTGCCTCGGTACACTAGTGTGCCGCGAGTGATGGTCAGGTGTGCCGTAGAAAATCATCCTATTTCACCTAATCGGTCTAAAAAGATTTTTTGATAAGGAATTAATTATCTGCAAATCATTTTTCAGTGTCTGTGCTGTTCTAGTGACTGGTGGCGTAATCATGTAATAATTCCTTATGACTAGATTTTGTATATAATTTTATATATTGAAGTGGACATGTTAAGAGCAATTTGAAAGAAGAAATATAAAATATGATAAAAAATAAATTTTTGTGTTTATTTGATTCCCATTCAAGACACTTAAGATAAGATAAGAATAACTATAGTGTTACTATAGGCGGCTACAGATTTGTTTGACATTTTTGGTTGGTGGTGTGCCTCGTGATTTTTTCAATGAAAAAATGTACCTTGGGTCAAAAAAGGTTGAAAAACACTGTGTTTGAGCGTTCGGTGTTCATGGGTCACCGGCGTGGTGGCAACTGACCAATCGAACCACTTCCTCCCCCTCTCCGCAGCTCGGACGTGCTGATCGGAGCCCCCCGGGCCAACACCTCGTCCTCCAGCAGCGTGGTGGAGCGCGGCGCCGTCTACAGCTGCCCCTGGAGCCGCTCCTCCGCCTGCCGCCAGCTGCAGTTCGACGACACGGGTAACCGGGAAACGCCGCTTTTTCGTTTTTTTTTTTTCCGGACGCAGCCCAGGGAAAAAGCAAGAAAACCGCTAACCCTAACCGCTCGATAACAGGCCGAGGCAGCTTTCACATTCCCGCCCCGACGGCGCATTATTGATGGGATAATGAGCAGCTCGGCTCAGCCGGCTGCTGTTATCTCACGTCAGGACACATTCAGGAATTTGTGATAAAGCGGGATGAGTGGAATTCGGCTAAGATGGTGAACCCCTTTTCCCTTTAGATGCCCCGTTACAACAGGTCAGCTATGAGACGTCTCCATGTGGTGCTGAGGAGCTCCAGTCCTCTGTTTATCCTGCTGTAAACATCAGATAACAGGCGTCCAACGGTTAATGAATGTGTAATAAACAGTGATGTTTCTTTTTTATTTATACTTGACTATGCTCTCCTCGGCTAATCCATCTTTTTATGCAGGCAGCAGGCAGAAAAAAAAGGAACAATGCCTGCTGAAAAGGAAGCAACTCCTTTAAACTCCTTGAACATGTCAGTATTTGTTGTTTAAAGCGTGAAATATCTTTAGTTTTCAGTTCCGTACGTTTAGGGATCTGCAGCCCTTTTTTGGTCTGAGTACGACCGAAAAGAGGAAGTTGCTCCGGAGCAGTCCGAGCCTTTTAATTAAGCCGGCCTGTTTCCGGGTGAGGACACGATGGCCTCAGCCTCAAAGTTTGACTCAGACTCATATACGCTTTAAGGACCCCGGGGGGGGGGGGAAGAGTTTTTTTCTGCCTGCATTGCTCCGAAGGAGTCTAAAGATGTAAAAAAAGCCTATGCGCGTTTTATGACAACGCTTTCAAAACACGCCGTTCCCTCCAGTCTAAAGG